ACCTATGGACGAACCTACTCTGAGATCTTTTGATGTGGAAAACTAAGAACAGGTGGAGCCCTTTTTATAGCTGTGGAGAAGAACCAGACAGCCTGAAATCTTAAGGAGTTTGAGTTTGATTGGGAAAATAATTTAAGAGTCCTGTTATGAAATTGAAATTCTAGAAGCTTTGTTGCACAGAAGATTGATAGCAAGGGATTTTAGTTGCTGTCAAAAGCGAATGTATTTCTCCTGGAATGGCCTAATCATGCATGGAAAAGGATTCCAATAATTACCGTAAAAAAAAATATGAAAAAGGGAATATTGGCTGGCAATTCGGTTCACACGCAGATTTTGAAATATGTGGGAAGTTTATACTCAGCATGTTTTCTGCAAAATTGGGGCCAACTTTGTACTTGGGTCATGTTAAAAGATATTCAAATAGGACTATGAGAGTGTAATGGGTCATTTGAGATACTAAATATTACATTAATGATCCATTTAGTGAATTGGGTGTTAGTAATCTCACAAGCCAATAAGTCCATGTCATGTGGTCCAAGTCCAAATTAAATTAAAATTCGTGACTTATTCACATCAAGGCGCGTTGTCCGTGAATAAGTCTCGAGGGGGTATTTGTAGACAAATAAATTTTGAGCCACTTAAATGGCGACAAGTGTCAAATTCCATGTCATAGTCAATTAATAATTTTCTATTTCATTTGGAAAATTAATCAAATTTTAATTCCTAAATTTAATAGTTAATTAATTGATTATTTAATATATATTGTTGGCCAATTAAAGAATGCCACGTGTATATTTTGAAGTCCAATTAAAGAATGCCACATGTCATTTTGGGAGAATTAAATAAATAATTATTTCTTTTAATAATTATTAAGAGATAAATAAGTGGAAATTCATGGACCAATCAGATTGAAGTCTTCTTTTTCAAGACTCTCTCTCCTAATTATCTCTTTAAATAATTATTAGGAGATAAATATTAGAAATTATGGACCAATCAAATTAAATTTTTTTTTTCCAAGACTATCTCTCCCAACACCTATAAATAGGGGCTCTCCCTAAGGTGAAAAATCACAAATCATATTCAAGTCCACAAGTCATATTCAAGTTCAAGAGCTCTAGAGAATTCTCTCAACGAAATTCAAGCGTTCTTGAAGATCCAAAGGCGTTCTTGAAGATCCAAAGGAAGATTCAAGCGCATTCAAGCCCAAAACTGACGTTCAATTCGGAATCAAGCTGCCAAGCCTCCGAATTGCGTTATTGAAGTCAAAGTGTTTTGAAGATTCAAAAGCGTTCTTGAAGATTCGAAGGAAGATTCAAGCGCGTTCAAGCTCGAAACTGACGTTCAATCCGAAAACAAGCTGTCAAGCCTCCGAATTACGTTATTAAAGTCAAAACCGGCGTAAAGAAGATCAAAATCAACTTTGCGGCGAAGACCAAGGATTCGTGTTATTCACGTTCTTGGGAAATCTCAATGTTTGATTCGAGATCAAGCTCCAAAAGTCTCATATTCATTTGAAGATCGTTCTTGAAGAAATTAATCAAAGGAATAATAGAGATTTGTAATTCACTATTTTCATTTGATCCGTTGAAAATCATTTGTACGAATTTCTCGTGTTTATTAATTCAGTAATACGAAATTTTGCGTTACAAGCCCTAAGGGCTCACCTTCCAGATTTGGCTTTTTTGTCTGCAAAAAAAGAAAAATAAATAAAAGAATTTGTCATTTATGTATGCAAAACGTTGGGCGTAGGTGATAAATGGACCTATTGTAAACCTTCTCATTCTAGGGGTGGTCTTCTTTTGACCTAGTCTGTTAATGTCACTATTGTTGATTCATGTTGTTTTGACTTTTTTATAGGTGTTAAGTTTAGGTTTAGGGATAGTGGTCAATGTCAATGGAGGATCTTTGTTTACTTAAGTACAGATCCGTGGTTGGGGCAACTTCAATGTGACTTGTTATCTAAGTTGAAGGATAATTGGAGTGAAGTCTGGTTTGTAGGTGGCGACTTCAATGTTATTATGTCTAGTAAAGATAAGAATTGCGGCAGAGTCAGAGACCAATCTAGTTTCAACCCTTTAGAGATTTTGTGAGTGGAATGGGTATGAGTGAAGTTATAACTCAGGGACATCATTTTACTTGGGCTAACAATAGGCAAAGTGATGAGTTTGTGGAAACCAAACTAGATAGATTGTTTTTTCTCCCATGCTTGGCTTGCTTTATACCCCCAATGCCCTTGTTAAGCATACTTCTTTATTTTCTTCAGATCACAATATACTTATATTGGAGACTTTCTATACTCTGAATGCCAAACCAAAAGGATTAGTTTTTTTATGCTAGGTGGATTAAAGTTATAAGGGTTTAATGAGGTAGTTGATCAGCCTGGAACACTGCAGTAGAGGGACCTCCTTTTGTATAGTATTCAAAATAGGATTAAAAATGTAAGAATGGCTTCTTGAACTGGAAAAAAAATCACTCTACTAATTCTGCTCTGATTATAAGTAGTTGTAAGCTACTCTTGATGACCTAGGAAAGGAAGGTGACCTAGAAAAAAAATGGACTCTACTAATTCTGCTCTTATTATAAATAGAATTAGAAATGTTAGAAGTCTTCCTTTATTTCCTCAATACCCATTAACCCCACCATTTATGTGTTCTTTTCCTCAGGAATGACTGAGGTGATATTCTGCAACAACTCATCTCCTATTGATCCTTCTGAACTGAAAAGTCTCTTGTTAAACTCCTCAATATTTGTTGTTATTTCTGCTTGAGTCTCACAAACAGATTCATCTTCATTTTCATGTCTGAAGATTGAGTTAGTTTTTCTCCTTTGCAGGGTGCATGCATGGAAGTTCCCCACCTTTAAGAAAGCAGTTCTTTATGCTTTGGCAGTTGGAAGCCTCGTGTATGTAATGTTGTGCACACGACTCGATATTAGGGACGCCGTAGGCTTAGTAGGTAAATATCAAGGTAATCTAGGCCCGGGACATTGGTCTGTGGTCAAGCATATACTCAAGTGTAGTGCCCCTTTCGATTATTAAGTGTTTTCTCGTTCATTTAATTGCTTGAATTCATTGCATTGTATGTCTATCTTTTTGTTGATATCCGAGTTAGCCAGGAATGAGCCGGGGAGGCGTTGCCAACCGACTCGAGCCAAAAACCCGGTCTGATGAGAAAGTGCCGAGCTGGATCATGGATTAGAGGGGCGGGAAACCGCCCTGGGAACAGATTCTCAGCCCGGCGCCCGTCTCAGACCGGGGAGCTGCCGACCTGGATGGGTGCCGAACATGAAGAAGACTATTCGTAGTCTGAAGAGCATCTATGAACGAAGTGCCGACCTGAAAGTACGAGGAGGCCGACCATGGACGACGCATGGGTTTCAATGAGCATTAAAATATTCCCACTTGGGAGGTCATCATTGGACGATGGGGTAGGTAATCATGGCCTAGACCCCTACCAGCCAGCATGAGTCAGCAAGGCCATACAGCATTAAATGCACCCCATGCTGGCATTTAATGCTCGGCAGGCAATGATTGAAGAAACCTCAAATCGCATTAAATGCCCGTCAGACAAAC